TTTTTATTGCCATTCTGTATTTAGCATCTGCTGTCCAAATAAAGTAACTGAGTTAAATTTAATTATTGTCATCTTTACTCTAAAGAAGTGATGTTCAAAGTGTATCCCCCAGACCAGGAGCATCAGCATCACTAGGCAACTTGTTTCAAATGCAAATTCTCAAGCCCTAGCTCAGACTTCACTGAATCAGGAAAGCCTGGGGATGGGTCCAGGCAACCATGCATCAACCAACACTTCTGGGTGATTGTGACGCTAAGGTTGAGAGTCACTGCTCTAAAAGCCCCCTTCTCAGGAGTGTTTTGTGTTTGTGGACAAAAATATTAAATGGACAAGCCCTGTGGCTCTGAACAGCAGTTCTGTTCTCTAAAGTTGTTCTGTGATGTTAGCATCCCAATTTTTCTTATTCTTTCAAAAGTTATGGAACTATATCATAATCAGAATTTATTTGAATCAAGTGATTCGCTTTTACAAAGCAGAATTTCCATACTTAAAACTGAATTAAATGAAATAAAGATATTCCAGATGTCAGAAGTAGAAAGCTAGTTTTGATTCATTCATTCATTCACTTAACAAACATCTCTGTGTGTAAATGAGCTCTCACTCTTTGAGCAAGTACTGCATGTTAAGGCCATGGTGCCAAGTGCTTTACAGACTCATTACTAAATTTATCCTCACGGTAACCCCAGATAGTGGGTGCCATTATCAATCTTATTTTATGGATGAGAAAACTGTATTAGGGACATTAAAAAACTTACTCAATTAGTAAATGGTAGAGCCCAGACTCTAGCCAAAGGTCTCTCTCACACCAAATTACATGTTCTTTGCTACTATCTGAAATTCCTGCCACGTGTTCACATAGCCATATGTGTGGAGACAGACTTGGAACGTATCTCCTCTACCACCCAGAGCAGCATGCCATTATGTCTGCCACCATGTGCTTGCCTAAATCACTCAGATGATGTCCCCTTTTCACATGAACTGGCCTTTCAGTGCTAATAGAACTTCAGTTGAAATTCATATAAAACATAAGAAGTTCTGAATTGGAAAGAACTTTAATGATCATCTAACATGTAGGAGATTCAGGGCGCCTGGCTCAGTCAGTAGAGCATGTGACTCTTGATCTCGGGGTCATAAGCCCCATGTTGGTTGTAGAGATAACTTGAAAGTGAAACCTTTAAAAATAAATAAATAAAATGCAGGGGATGAGTCAAATAGTGGGGCTCTGGATTTTTACTCCAGAACAATTCCACTTTGATTGGTTGTCTATATTGGGATTCCAGGAAAGATTTCTTTTGTAGAAAGTTCTGCTCCTTCAAAATCAAGTGTGGGGTGCCTGGGTGGCTCAGTCAGTTAAGTATCTGACTCTTGATTTTGGCTCAGGTCATGATCTCAGGGTTGTGGGATTCAGCCCCGTGTCAGGCTCTGTGTTCAGTGCAGGAGTCTGTGTTTCCCTCTCCCTCCGCTCCTCTCCCACTCACACTCAACACTCTTCTCTCTCACAAATAAATAAAAATAAAATCTTTAAAAAAAAAATCAAGGGGCACCTGGGTGGCTCAGTTGGTTAAGCGTCTGCCTTTGGCTCAGGTCATGATCCCGGGGTCCTGGGATCGAGCCCTTCATCGGGCTCCCTGTTCATTGGGAGGCCTGTTTCTCCCTCTCCCTCTGCCTGCCATTTCCCCCGCTTGTGCTCTCTCTTTCTCTCAAATGAATAAAATCTTAAAAAAAAAATTTTTTTAAAAGCAAGTGTGAAGAGCAATGAACTTTTTAAGCCAAGCTTCTCATTTTACATATAAGGACATTAAGGCTCTAGAAAACTCTTAATCATAAGCCCAGGGCTCTTGCCTCTGTTTGATGCTATTTCTCCTATGTTACACTGTCCATGTGCTGTGTTCCTCTTAAAGAGCTTTAAAGACCTCAGAGAGCAGAATCTATCAAAATTGGTAAAAAATACTGGAAGCCAAGAAGGGGTCTACTTACGACCTTCAGGTTTATAGAAAAAGGAGAATGAAGGAAGCCCAGTGACTATAAGTGACTTGCTGAATCCATATCAGAAAGAGTTGTCTAAAGAGTGTGGCTTCCCACTACAACTACAGTTGTTGATTCATGATGAATGCTGGATAAAACATTCCCAAATTCTGCTTGATTTATGTATGGTGCCGACATGACTTAAGCTAAGATCAAAATACGTGTTTTATTTCTTGTGCCTGGATTCCCATTAATACATTAGACACTTACGCCATTAATAACAATTGAGTGTCATCACACTGACATTTTAGCAGATCTACATTATTGTGATTCACACCCACCATAATTTCATCTTGAATCTCATCAGTTAAAGTAAATTTGCTTCCAATTAGTTGTTTTAGTTTTATAAACAGTCAAAAATCAATTTTGATTACAATGACAGTCATAGGCCATCTAAGAACCTGCATAATATATATTAAGATTTACCCCTCACATCCTATAATTTATGCTTTTATGTAAAATTATAGCATTCTGAGATGCATCCAAGAGATGTGATAATACAGGTCGTTTATAATACCTACACCTAGGCAGTTAGCAATCAAACTTTTCATTTGGATGATAGGTAATTCGATTTAATTTTTCAAAGCAAAATAATTCAAAAGCAGAGATGAGACAGATTTTAGTAGAAATAGAAATTATCTTCTTTCCTCAGGAGCAGGTGTCCAGAGGAGGGGAAAGAACAATGTCTGCCTGGGTGAGGCTGTCCTTATCCCATCGTCAGGGTGATTACAAAACCACAGCAGCAGGCCCACACCTTCAGCCTTTGGCAGGTGCACTCTAAGTCACATTGACTTGACGTTGTTCGCTGGAATCAAAGACGAAGTTAAAGCAACATGGCAGATCAGACTGAGCCCGTGGTGTGATACTCTGAGCCTAACAGTGTGATGTGCAGAAATTTCACCTTTCATGAATTCCAGGAAGAACGCTATACCAAAACACGAATAATGACAAGTTCATTACTTCCCATTCAATGCACATATGGCAAATAATTTTACATGGCCTTTGCTAAAATGCCTTTTACCTTCAGTAGAAAGATCTTAGCAACATAAAGGGCAATCTACGTGTCATGCACTTACTCTCTATGATGCCAGTAAAAATATAATCAGTGCTGCCCACCAGGTAACAATTTGTTATTCTTGTTCTAAATCCTATTCAATGGCCCGCAAAGCTCTGTAATCCTGTAACGTGGAGAAGTGTGTATTAGGGAACAAGGAGGGGCTGGGAAGCTGGTCAAGGGACTGTGTCATCAAGGCAATCTGGCAATGTTCACTTAGTGTGCACACAAAGAGAAGGATAACTCAGGACATCAGCAGGGGAAAGTGGTGGGGCTCTTTTAACTTATGTAACTAAAAACCATCAAGTGGTTCCACTGAAAACAAGAAAAATGCAAGACCACTAATGGTCATTTATTCTCACAAAGCTGTAGCCGCTAGTGGGGAAAACAGATTTTTGAAAGAAATTCCATCTGGTGGCCTGCAATCAATACAGATCCTGCTCCTAGCTCACTGGGATTTCCTTGCCCTAACCTACTTAAGACCTCTCAAGTCTCTGCAATCACTACTTCCCACTTTCTAAAACCTCAACAGCAGCACTGCTATTTACACAAACATACTGTCCTGGTATCTGAGACCTGGATTCCAGCTTTTATCTGATCCTGATAGCAGTCTTGGTGTGTGTATTTCACTTTTCTTTTTAAGTGAAAAATCAGGTCCTCTGAAAGTTTTCTTGCAAAGTAATTTGACGTTATTCAAGACCTTCCTCCCACCTCTCCTCAGAATGTGTTAATATATAAGAGCAACACGTTTCTGTTCTTCAGTATTTGTCTGGTATATCCCTCACTTATTCATTCCTTTTTCATTTATGCAAGAAACATCACTGAGTATGTACTATAGACCAGGCCCTGCACTGAATATTGGGGTTACGAGAAGGGAATAAACCAATCCTTACATTCAAATCACCTGGAACAAAGACAAGTGTGTGACTAATTAAATACAATTTAAAGGCCATATGTGATCGTTCCAGGTGCTATGGACGCTGGAGGAAGAACTAGCATTTGAATGAATGAATAGGTGTTTGTACTGGGGGAAAGGGATGTTGTTCAAAAGAGATTTTAAAGGTTCCTCAAGGAGATGTGCCTTGAAGGACAACCAATAACTTTTCAAGTGGGCAAACCGTACAAGGTTTACAAGGTACAGAAAGGCAGGAAGAAGCAGCAGACAGCAGAACATACTGGAGAACAGAGAAGACCCCAAACGGCAGGCACATAGGTGAGTATGATGGTGAGTAATCAGATTAGCAAAGAGGAATGGGAGAGAAAAGAAACATTGGCAATATGGCTAATGTTCTCCAAGTTTCAATTTGGTTAAGTAACATAAACGTGTTTTTGTTTGTTGCTTAAAAAAAGAAAAAGAGACTGTCATTTGAAATGCTCCCCTCCTAAGAGGTATTTGTAGGGCAATCTCAAACCCATGGAATTATATGGAAAATTAGCCAAACGGAATGAATGCTTAACCTCAGAGGTTCTTACTCAGATACAGAAATACACAAGTTAAATGAAAAGCAAATCTGTGGTTAAGAAGGAATTTCCCCCCCAGGTCACGGTGGCAAGAATCTTGAGGGTTTTTTGGTTGTTGTCTCTCTCCTCTTCAATTTACCAGAGCACTTTGTAGGAAATATCCATGTTTCCATGTAATGTCAAAGAGATCAAACGTAAAACATGATGCAATCCTATGCTTTTCTCAACAATCGCCTAAGTTATTTTTCTTGGAGAGAAACAGACACCCGTAGCTTCGTTGACAGCACCAATTTGCCATCTTGTAAGAGAGTAATTTTGAAACTTTAGGTTCCATGCCCACAGGCATAAAATAATTGAAAAAGGATGTGGTCTTAGATTCTGAATGGATGGTCCTTTGTTACTTAACAATTTGGAGGAGGGTTGGTCCTTCTGGTTTGTGGTTTAATTCAGAATCATGTATCCTGTGACTAGCCCTTTGTTGCCTTGTTCCTAGGGAGCTCTGAATGTATCATTAATTTTCAGTGTTACTACCATTATACTTTACTACCTAGGGTAAAAAGAGAAATTATTAATTTCTTCTTAGCTATAGGCACTCTAGAAACTATATACAGGTAAGACAAAAATATTGTTTCTTCTCATTCTCTGCTTCATACATATCTTTTATTTTTAAACATATTCATGTGGTCTCACATTTAAGTTGAATATTTATTTTGTCTTTCTATAGCTTTGACATCTCTAATTTTTTTATCCCTTTTATCACTATCACCAGCACCTAGAACAGCCTCTTGCATACTGTTTGTGCTCCACACGTATATTTATTGAATGAATTAGTCAAAAACATCCCTTGCAGTCCTAATCTTACTTTAAAAACGCTCTGAGAACTTTTGTACTGGCTTGCCACCTTGCCCCAAAAATATGTCTTTGGGCTTCTCTTTTATTTATACTTTAGGGTTCTGATGCATATATTTTGTCACTATCTCACTGGGAATGACACACATTTCTGCTTTTGTCTGTCTTAGCCAAAGCTTCATGATTATGTCCATCAAACACCTCTACTTAGATCTTTCTTCCAATTCAAATTTAATACAGTTTGATTTCTCCCCTCAGCCTACTTGACTTCTATTCCTTTTCTTCTAATCCTTTACAACCAAATCAAATTAAGTGTAAATTTTCTTATTTTATCTAATCTCTAAGAGGTGACTCTGAAATCTCTTGTTTTGTGTATTGACTTTCAATAGAATGAAACATTCTCTTCTCTCTTCTGTACAACTTGTTCCAGAAAATTTTCCAAAGTGATCTTTTCTTATCACCATAACGACATACCCCCTCCCCTTAAAAATCTTTCAGCTTCTGTTTTGGATAAAGGCTTTCATAATCTAGCCAATTATATATTTTGTTCTATTTACATTTTTTATTTGACCAAAACACTAATAACTTACTACTTTCATCAGATTTACTCAGCTAACTGTAAAAAAATTTAAGATGACTAAAACATCCCAATATTTTTCATTAAAGTTTTACTTAATGTATTCCAAATTGTTTCTATGTACAAAACAACTCAGTAAATTATATGTCTTCTAATATTAAGAAATTCCTTTATTTCGTTTATGAAGATTCCTTTACAGAAAGCCTTCACTGAAGAGGGGAAGATCGATAGTTCATTGATTCAAAAACCACAATCATTCTTACCTTTTAATATTATTAATTTTGCATAAATGTTGCAGAGTAAGTCTTCCAAAAATACCATTTTTATCACTATCCTAGGACCTCAGTCACTCTGGAGGGGGCTGCTGCTTTGCCAACCAACTTTTTTAGCTTTTAAACCTGGCACTGTTGGCTATCACCCAAACTATCAGACTTTATTTCACATTTCTGTATGAATCTCAGCTTCCCCTGGCTATGTTCAGTGAGTGGTAATGATGATATCTGGGCTCAACAAAAACTTTCAACAACTTGTAAGGTGTTTGCAAATTATAGAACAGTCTCTTTTATATGACCCAGCATTCAATACCTGGTACTTGATATGTCTGCCTAGAAATATGCTTAACTGCGTGATGAGACACTACTGTAAACTGTTGCTCAGGAAAACATAAGCAGAACAAGGGTAACAGTATAAAAAAAAAAATAGGTATGCACACTCTTTGACCCAACAGTTAATAATCTCAGGAACTTATCGTAAGGAAATAATCAAAGATTGCACTGTTCATAACAGTTAAAAAATTGCCAACAGCATAAATGTTCAATAATAATATCTCTTTAAAAGTTGTGGTGCATCCATATAATGGTATTCAATTACATGGAATTAAGAAATTTATTGATATGAAAAAGCAAATGATTTACTAGGCGAAAAAAAAAGGTAACAAAATCATGTATGACCCTATTTTGTTAGAAAAAAATTATCAAAAAGTATATAAACAGAAAATATTGAAAGTTGAGACATCAAAAATTAATGATGGTTATATTTCAGCATTGAAATCACAGGTAACAGTTTTCTTCTGTGCTTTATTCTATAAATCTAATTTGTTAACCCCAAATGGCAGTGCTTACTACTCTCTTCTCTCCGTTGAAATATGATTTGGCTGCAAGTTCTGATTGAAATAAGATGACATTTTCAAAGAAAGAAGCCCTTACCTGAATATCAGTCAATTTGTCCAAGATCCGACTTGCAAGCTTCGGACCATTCTCCATAGTTGGGATGTGTATAGTCTACGAAAGAAAACCACATGCAGTATAATTTGAGGATATCCATGTAGATGGTGACAGTAAGTAAGACACTCAGCAATTCTGGTGTATCAAGGCAATTCGATGGAGATAAGGAATGGCACTATGATAACCTGATTATGTACACTAGCTCCTTATGCCAAAGACTCTTTTCTATTCTGAATTTGAATAAAAACAAACTAGCCAATGACAGGTTGTTTCTTGTCTACCAACTGATTTGAGGGCACAACTGGTTTACATGTCAGTCTTTAGGCGGATGTGAGGAACCAAACAGAAGCTATGGGAACCAAAAAGAGTGGCGAGACATAAAGAATCTTACCCCTTTCAGGATTCGGAGAATCTACAGGATGAATGATTGGCCTCTGTACCTAATCCTTCTGGCAAGGAATGAGAACTCAAAAACATTTTGCCACAAATTAAAGCAAGTCATTGCAGGAACATAAATTAAAGCAAGTCTATGCCTTCATAAAAGGGGCAACTAAACCTATGTCTGTTCAAAGTCAGACCTGCGGGGGCTACAACCTCCACAATGCTGGATAGCATGGTTACACTGGGTGCTGAGAGATTTCATGCCCCTAATTTACATTTGAGTCATGCCCATTCCTGCCTCACTGGCTTGCAGGCTTTTGGTAGTCTGATTTTAGCAGATAGAGCCGATGCTGTCACTTTTCTTCTTACACGCTTTGTGATAACAGGATAATTAGATGTACCTGTTAGCTCTGAATACCCTGTGAAACAAGACTATTAAAAATGCATTGGACTTTATCAACTTATTTCTAGAGGTGAAATAATTGGACTTAAAAAAATCTGACCTAATGGCGACTTTAGTTAATTAAAAAAGTGGACCAATAATGCACTTACCTAGATATCACCATAATAAAATGTGAAACAGTAGCTTTGTAATCAGTATAAATATTGATACATAATAATTTAGTTCTTCTCCTTTGAAATGATAAATCTCTAGATGGAATCATGTCAAAAGTCATTCCTTACAATCAAGTTTGAAAATTTCAAGCAATGAAGCAGCCACCATTAAAATCAGAAAAGGTTTACTGAGGAAAAATAATTATGTTAAATTTAAAAACCAATCAAATTTATATTTAATATGATTAATTTAAGCCAATTCACACTGTAAGAATTATACCCACATGCCTTTAAGCTATGAAGTTAGGCAATGATGTTAAGTATCAGAGCTTGGGGCGCCTGAGTGGCTCAGTCGGTTAAGCGTCTGCCTTTGGCTTGGGTCATGATCCTGGGGTCCCAGTTTCAAGCCCCACATTGCACTCCCTGATCAACAGGGAGTCTGCTTCTCCCTCTGTCCCTCACCCTGCTTGTGCTCTCTCTCTCTCTCTCTCTAATAAAATCTTTAAAAAAAATGAATTAATTAATTAATTAAAAAAAACCCCACAACCCCCCACCCCCCAAGGAATGGAAATACAGCACATATAAAATCAGATTAATTTACTGGAAGAAGAAAATTTCTTCCAACCAAATGACTGAATTTCTTTTGGAGGATTTTAGCAGGTGTATCAACTTTGCCAAATGAAAATTTTTTCATAAAATGGTCTAAGGAATAATAACAGCAGCAGCAATAATAACAACAATAAATGTAGGAGCTGATCATTCAGATGAGTTTCCTATAGCTGTTTTACTGCCATTACTACTCCAGTAGGTTAGGAGTCCTTTTGGAAACCAGAAACTGAAACTTAACTACCTGTAGAAACTTTTAGTGAGCTAGTAGAAAGAAATAAGGGTGGAAAGTTATTGGCACATCTCCAGTCCCTAAACTGACATAAGGTAGATGTGATACTTGTCCGAGGACAAAGCTGATTCCGCCCCAAGATTGGAGCTTACACAAAATCACTGGAAAGATGAGAGTAAGTAATTTGGTAATACAGGTTCATTGGGACAAACTGCCAAGTTATATTTAAAAAAAAAAAATCCTTTGCATCTTGGGTCCAACTAGCATTTCATTTACACATTTAAAGAATTAAATTATAGGCAAATGCTTGGAAATGACAGGAGGTGAAGAAATAGTCTTACCTCACCCTTGTACAGTATATCAGAAACTGGGCAAACAACGCAGGCTGTACCAGAGCCAAACATCTCCCTCACCCGGTTCCCCTCAAGGGCTGTTGTCAAGTCATACATGGTGAGGTACCTCTCCGACACCTTAAATTCACCCTGTTTGGAATATAAAAAATAAAAATATTAATATTTTCAAGGGAAAGGCATGCAAAAAAAGAACCCCTGCAGTACTTACCTTCTTACTTTACATTC